TGGTGATGGGTATTAAAGAGGGCACATTCTGCGTGGAGCACTGGGTGTTATGCACAAACAATGAATCATGGAACACGGCATCAAAAACTAATGATGTAATGTATGGTGATTAACATAACAATAAAAAATTATAAAAAAAAATAAAATAAAATGGGCTATTGTTGCCTGAGTTTTGGCGTGCAGATAGCAGCTTCACACTCGCTAAAAGCCTCAGGAGTAAGATTAGGTTCCACTGGGGGTGAAGAGAGGCTCTAGGGAGATTTCCTGCTCCCGGTGATGAGGACACTCACCTCCACGTGGCCATTCAGAGCAGCGTGGTGCAAGGCTGTGCGCCCCCCTCGGTCAGAGACGTTGACACTGCTCAGCAGGGGGATGATCACTTCTGCACACTTTACGGCCTTATTGGCAGCCGCCACGTGGAGGGGGGTCTGCCAGTTCTTGTCCCTCGCGTTGACATCGGCCGAGTGCTTAATCAATACTTGCACTGCTTCCTACAACAGAAGCAGAGTTTAAAGGGGTCACTGACAAATGCTCAGTCGATGCTTATTGGACAGAAGATGCTTCACCAGACCCCGGAACTACAGGAAAGGAAGGCTCCGTGCTCTCCCACACTGGCTCAGGATGTATATTCTTCTCAGAAAAGCAAGGTAATATGTGAGAAAGACCAAAAGAGTGGCATAGGTGAAAACAGATTCACTCTATCTTTTTTTGTTAGGCCAAGAGCCCTGGCATATCTTCAAAACGAAATAAACCTTCTAGGCATAAGGTTTCTTAACAGGGTGTAAAGTACCCTTAGGCCAAATGAGAGCACTCGTGTGCAAGTGCACACTCCAGGGTAAAATACCCATAGGTCAAAAGTCCCCCAAAGATCATCTGAACTTGGAGGTGTTTGTCAGTGAGCCTCCATCATCAAAGCCCTTCGGACATTCTTAGATCAATTTATAAACCTTTGGTTCTCACAGCCAACATCTTAACCCTCACTGCGTGATCGAGAGCAGTCAAGGGAAGATGTCTATTCCTACCTCAACTTGAAGCTACAAAATTGTTCCATATTTTCCCAACTTTTTCCATGTTATAGTGGGGTAACTTCTTTTCTACTGTTGCATCCCTTCACCTTTACTGAGACTTACGCTTTTTGTTTTCCTTCCATTGACCTAATCAGCTTTTTTGCCTCTTGAACTATTACTCTCAACCTTGGCTGGGCGATGGAATCACCCGGGGAGCTCTTAAAAATACAGATGGCTGAGGTGCCTGGGTGGCTCAGTTGGTTAAGTGCCTGAGTCTTGATCTCAGCTCAGGTCTTGATCTCAGGGTCGTGAGTTCAAGCCCCCTTTTGGGCTCCACACTGGGCATGGAGCCTACTTAAAAAAAAAAATACAGATGGCTGGTGCCACACCAGAGATTCTAACTGGCCTTAGATTTCTGTAAAGCCCCCAGGGGACTTTGTTGTACAGCTAGGATTGAGGACACTCTTCTGTTCCATCAAGAAAATGATACAGCTTCTCTCAAGATGGGAATGACTGCTGGTTGTTTCTCTTTACTTCTAGAGACATCCCTGGAACCGGTTAGTGGGAGTCCTTTATGCACGTCTTCCTAATGTGGCATCAATAAACCAATGAAAGGCAATGAAAGGCGCCACACTCCTGACACCCTTCACGGACCAAAAACTTACCCCTGTCCACCTTATTCCTCACAGGCCCGAACTGTCCAAACCATTTCATCATGCAGGTACATAAAAGTGCTCAGATAGTAGATTAACATAGATATGAGGTAGTTAAAATTAACATTTTTTATCAGGGACATAAATAATGAAGGAAAAAAATGTTCTATGAATCAGTAGTAGCAACATTCTGAGATGAATGGCTAACACAGTAGACTAAGAGCGAAAAAATTTAGTTTTGCAAATTAGAGAATACAGTTGAAATATGAAATACAGTTGAAGTATGACTCTATTTAGATGCTACAAACAAGAAACCCATTGGGCCTAAGCAAACAGTTTGTTAAAACTACCAAAAAGGAAAAAAAAAAAAGATATATGCCACCCATCCTCAGCAAGACAATCAAGTAATGACTACTAAACATTCCTGGAGCTCATTTTAGAGTGAAACATGTGTATGTGTATTCTCACGCTCACCTACTAGGTGCAAAACACTAAGGAAGACTGAAAGAAACATGAGCCAGACTCTGTTCTAAAAGCTAGCTGGGTGAACAAAAAACAAAAGAAAAGCAAAGCCACAATATAAGAGGTAAGATTTAAATAAGAAAAAAAAAATGATATTTTTGTCAACTTTGGTCTCAAAAATTGTGAGGTTTATGTAGATACGTACATACAACCTATTGTGATATGGGAACCTCCATTTGTGTTTATTTTCTTTACAAAGGAAAGCATCGTAGCTGGTATTTAACTCTGGGTTGGCACTGTGCCCTCAGTCAGCTCCACAGAGGACCTTGCCCTGTAGGATCTGAGACACCCTCCGGGAAGAGAGGAACTTCCACACGCGGAGGGGGTGAGGCTCATGCTCTCTGTTCATTCACGCTGAGTGCACAGAAATGCACAGTGATGGGCCCGCCAGATCCAGCTACAGATTGTGATGCGTGCCCTTTGACTAAAAACATCCCCAGATGGGCAGGATGTATGCAAGGAACCTGCAGATTAAAGATGATAATACAAACGCAAATGTAAATAACATGGGGTAGAGCTGACGCTTCTACTCCGAGTAAAAGCTTTCTATACATTACAAGGTAAAAATAATGACAAATTTAATCAGATCTGACAAGAGCTTGGCCAAAACAGAGGAAAATCATCAGTAAGTCTATTAGCTTTGTGGTTATGTAAGACTCCGATAAATGAAAAGCCTCACCCTAAGTATATTGTGATATACTTGAAATATTAGCTAACAGCAGTAGTTCTTATATGTAATTCATAAATAAATGAGATGCACATTTTGAAGATGCATGCTGAAAAAGTTTTGCAGATGGGCGCCTGGGTGGCTCAGTTGGTTAAGCGACTGCCTTCGGCTCAGGTCATGATCCTGGAGTCCTGGGATCAAGTCCCACATCGGGCTTGCTGCTCGGCAGAGAGTCTGCTTCTCCCTCTGACCCTCTTTCCCTCTCGTGCTTTCTATCTCTCATTCTCTCTCTCTCTCAAATAAATAAATAAAATCTTTAAAAAAAAAAAAGTTTTGCAGAGATATTGCCAAAAAGGTTGGAGATAACCACATAAAGCAATACGATAAAAAATGGTATAATATCCTTTTCACATATTCACAGCACATAACAATATATACTATCATTTTTAATACCTTTGCCTTGTGCATTATTTTACTGTACTTTACAGATTCTTGCTTGGCATTACATATTACATAAATTCAGAATAGACTAACAAACCAAAAATATGCAGGAACATTTCATAAATTTATACTATTTGGACATAAGACCAATGAATTCATGAAAAACTTTTTTTTATTTTTTTATTTTTTAAAGATTTTATTTATTTATTTGAGACAGATTGAGGAGAGACAGAGAGAGAGTGCAAGCGAGGAGGAGAGGGGGAAGCGGGCTCCCCGCAGAGCAAAGAGCCCGATGCGGGGCTTGATCCCAGGTCGTTGGGACCATGACCTGGGCTGAAGGCAGACGCCCAACCGACTGAACCACCCAGGTGCCCCAGAAAACTTTTTTTTAAAGATAACAAAATTAGATAATAAAATTTCCTAAAAAATTAGAAAAGGAAAAGGTTCAAGTTCATTGATCAGAAGGGGACAAAAAGAACTGGATAGGGTCTCTAATAAGTCTCTTTTCATGTGAACTTTAAGCAAGTCCCAATGTGAGTGCCAACTTCATCATATTTGTCTCTCCTACCAACACTTACTGTCATAGCTCAAGGATGCCTAGAATAACCACTACTTCTACTTACCTACTTTTATAAAATGTTTTAACTTTGGCATTCTTCAGTTTTATTTCTCTATCTGCTTAGGAAATGAATTGCATAGTTTTCATCTTGACAAGGACTATATCAAGAAATACTTAGTATACAAAGGAGGGTATCTTACTTAATTTCCAAAAATTAACTTTTTCATGAAAATACAAGTAGTCTAAAGTGACTATGGATTAACTTCACAGACGTACAGGATATTAGAAGTAGAGAAGGCCTCAGGCGTCATCTGGTCTGACCCCTTCATTTGATGGGCAGCTTCATGTTATAGGCAAGGCGGCTGAGTCAAGGGCAATGATCTATCAGCCGAGCTGATTAAGAGTCTAGCTCGGGTGTTTTCTACTAGGCCACAGCTTACTCAGTGGACAGTATCGGCCAAGCACGCTGACATAAATGTTTTTAAATGTTAACTCTCCTTATTTAAATTTTTTTAACTCTGAAGTTTTACCCTGCCAAACCTGCTTAATACATTAATAGAAATTTAATATAATACTTCAGAAAAAACAAAGCTTTGCTTTAAAAAAATAATTTCCTACAAATCAAAACCACAATGAGATACCACCTCACACCCGTCAGAATGGCTAAAATTAACAAGTCAGGAAATGACAGATGTTGGCAAGGATGTGGAGAAAGGGGAACCCTCCTACTGTTGGTGGGAATGCAGGCTGGTGCAGCCACTCTGGAAAACAGTATGGAGGTTCCTCAAAAAGTTGAAAATAGAGCTACCCTACAACCCAGTAATTGCACTGCTGGGTATTTACCTCAAAGATACAAATGTAGTGATCCAAAGGGGTACGTGCACCCCGATGTTTATAGCAGCAATGTCCACAATAGCCAAACTATGGAAAGAGCCACAATGTCTATCGACAGATGAATGGATAAAGAAGATGTGGTATATATACCATGGAATATTATGCAGCCATCAAAAAAATGAAATCTTGCCATTTGCTATGACGTGGATGGAACTAGAGGGTATTATGCTAAGCAAAATAAGTCAATCAGAGAAAAACAATTATCATATGATCTCGCTGATATGTGGAATTTGACAAACAAGGCAGAGGATCATGGGGGAAGAGAGGAAAAAATGAAATGGGACAAAACCGGAGAGGGAGACAAACCATAAGAGACTCTTAATCTCAGGAAACAACCTGAGGGTTGCTGGAGTGGAGGGGGGTGGGAGGGATGGGGTGGCTGGGTGATGGACACTGGGGAGGGTATGTGCTATGGTGAGTGCCGTGAATTGTGTAAGACTGATGAATCACAGACCTGTACCCCTGAAACAAGTAATACATTATATGTTAATAAAAAATAAAAAAATAAAAAGATAATTTCCTTTTCTAAAATTGCATTTCTCTTTCAAAAATTTTAATCTTGAAAGCACTTCAACTTGGTTTCAAGAGAGAGTAATTTTATGGCTATTTAGGAAATTAATGATTTTTGTAATCAAAAGAAGTCTCTCTTTTCCAGTTTCACACACTGGCTAAAAATTTAATGTCTAGGGGCCTACTCTGACAGAAATTTGCAAGATAAAAAGAAAACTAATATGGGGGAAGGGAAGCT